TTATAGCTTTGGATGGTCCAACTCTATTTTTACACCACATTGTTGAGGTAAGTTTTATGATAAGGTAATATTAGCTACATACTGCCCAAAACATTAGGGCAGTACGCTTTTTTTAATATCCAATATGGAAATGTTGGTACTATTTTCCAGAGGAGAGCAGAAAGGAACAGAAAGGTGGAAACCTGTTTTTGGAAATTGTTTTGCTGACTGAGCTGTGTCTGTATCGTTTCTCTCTTCAGCTCTCACTACCTTTCACTGTCTGGTTTTTTTCTGTTCTCACACACACAAACATGTACACACACACCAACAGAAAGCATGTATCTGCTTCACTACAGAGAAGACAGATTAGAACCTTCTCCCAGACCTCACAGTGCTCCTCATCTGCTGCGGCCTGATAAGACCCTGGAGAGGCTGTCTGTTGCAGCAGGCGAGAGTCGAGAAAACCCTGTCTAAAGCTGCCAACAGTGGAACAAAAATATCAGTGAAATGTACCTAACAATTAGTTTAGCTAGTGGCTTCCCTAAGGGCTGCACATACAGTACGTCTTACTCGTTAAAAAGCTCTTGCGGTTAGGTCCAAGTTTATCAAACTTGCTTTTTTGTAGCCCTGGGGTGAAAGGGGGAATCTGGTTATTCTGAAGGGTCAGTGGCCTGGAACGGGTAGGCAGAATAAATCCAATATTGCAGACTACTTTGCTTGCTTGCTCACATTTGTTCTGGGGCCGGTAAATCACTGGTTTGTTGGGGCCACTCAACCTCGAGAACTGCCAGTGGAGCAAAGAGGGCGTACAAGGTGGGGTGCAGGGAGAGGTAGTCAATACATTTGATAGAGTTCAGCCCCCTGGCACTTTGTTCACAATTACTCTCCTAGCACACAGACAGCACGAAGCAGCCAACGCCTCTCTCTTTCTGCAACACAAGTATTATCTTACATCACATTGATGAGGATCAACAGCTCTGTTTTAACAATCTGCCCGTGTGATTCAGCACTTAGGGACAGATAATGTGACCGAGAGCAAGACGTCCACGTCAACCAAGATTAGCGCTAGAGCAGGTATTATCTGATGATGACGATGCTGTGGTGATAGCCGATTAATTAAAAAGATTGACTGATTAAATCACAGGGTCATAATTGGGCTCATCATCAAGCTCAATCATTTGTTTTATTGTTGGCAAGTAGCACGTTCGTCTTATCGCGTCCTTTGCAGGCTTATTATACTCTATCCATCATCAAGCATTTCTTGCACACAAACGAAAGCATGCTAAAAGGCCAATAACGAGGCGTTGGGAATGAAATCTCCATGGCTTTGTTATTGATTGGAGATGTTTACACGACAGCAGAAGTAATGTCTTCACGGTAATATTGGGATATTTGGGAATATAGCTCAAACAAATACATTCGCCGGAGTCGTGTGGCCAGGGAAGGGTGATGGATGATGAGGGCGATGCATCGGGACGGCAGACACCTCGCCCATTAATCTGCAGAGCTGCTCTGTCTGTGTCTGTTTGCATGGCAACAGCAGCTCCCCATTACTCATTTTAGCTGCCGTCCATTATCAGTTTGTTGATTGAAGGAGTTTGCCTCTAAAGATTTGGAGGGTACTTTCGGCTCCTCTTTCGGAAACTCCTACAGGCTCACTGAGGTAGTGAGTTCTGGCGGCGATTCCACTTAATTACTGCACTCACCATATTTCATTTAAAAGCATCCGAAATTAGGTTTCTCTCGGAAACTGCTTAAAATTCTTACACCCCAATTAAGCTCCTCAAGCGGTATGTGTGAATCTCCGATGCCTAAAAACGTATGGGAGTAATGGGAGCATATGTCAAGAGGCGCGTTCACACGGAGTACTTTTCCCCATACTTTTCCCGTTTAGTTCCGTTAGTACCCCTTATTTTGCGTTCACACCAAAAAGAGTACTTAGTGCCGGGAACTTTTACCCCCCATTTTTAGTGCCTGCTAGAGAGGTGGGACTATCCTGGGGAGAAAAAGTACCCAATTTCTATTGGCTGGGTGAATTGCAAACCACGCCCCGTAAAACTCTGAAAAGTTTTTTGAAGCCCGCCATTGTATTTGCTGGCATTAGCATTATTAGCATTAGCATTAGCCCCGCGCACCAACGGAGAGAGAATAACTTATGGCAACACAAAAAAAAACATGGGAGCGGTGGAGTGATGAGGACGTGTCGGCGTTCTGGCGATTTACTCGGAAGGCTTCAGTAGAAGCTGCTGGGACTCCCAGCAGCTTCTACTGAAGCCAGTCCCCAACTTCGGGGACTTCCGGCCGGGGACTTCGGGTTGGAAGTATACGCCGTGAAGTGGTTTGCGGCCTTCCCAGTAAACCCAAAGCAGAAGAAGTGGCGTCAGCGGCTTCATTTGCGTAATCTTCCCTCAGGGAACTTATTCCGGTGTGAGCGCGATCTGTACTTAGTGCCATGGGGGGTACTAAGTGCCAGGCACTAAGTGCCGGCACTAAGTACTAAGTACTAAGTACTTGGTGTGAAAAGCGGCTAAAGGGCACTGTGATTAAAATAAAAAAAATGTTTCGTTTTAATTACTTCTTCAATCAACCATTGTAAACTGTGTCCTACTCATTACAAGTGGTGGGCCTCAGTATACCTGTAATTGAATAAAATATGTATTTTGACCTGTGGTATTTGAAGATTCTCTCTTAGAGATGGAACATTGCTGCCAGCTGGGATTGTTGTTTGACATTGTGAGCAATTATCTGTCATATTTCAATACCAGGAAGTTTGCAAAATAACCCTGCTGAAAAACATAAGCAAGCCTTTCCCACAGCTACTGTACTGTTGGGGCTCTGGGCACAATGAATTACTGCTAGAAGAAACGTAATAGTGACCATCCTTTACTGTCTGTGTACAAGCACACCTTTAAGTGATCACTGGTCCACTGGACTTAAAAAAGGGGGGGGAATGAGGATTTTGGCCATTTAGGGGCAGAAAGGTAGAGGCACTCTGTTTTTTCATGAGGCTGTTTTGCAGGATAACCCCCAAATGTGATTCATGGTTAATCAGGCTTCTGTAATGGAACATGATTGGACAATTCAAAAATCTCAGTATTCTTTAAAAAAAAAAAAAATGTCACAATGTGGTCATCCCGCACCTGTTTGATGGCTGGATGTAGAATTTAAAAACATTTGTATATTGAGTTGTCTTACTGCATCTCTGACACCCAGCCCATAGCCAAAAACAGACAGGGGCCAACACATCAATCAGATCGACACGCTTTCGGTGTCCAGACCTCTCTGGCAATTTCAAGCCACTAATTAATTGCTGTCAGCTCCTCTTCATGTATTGATCCTGCCTAAGCCAGGGTTTAACCTGGACTCTGTTCGCTTTGGCGCTGTCTACAATGGAAATGTATTGTCTCACATGTGACTTCAAAGAGAACTTTGGCTAAAACTGATTTATTTTTTTGCCAAACCAGTCGGATCTGGCTTCAGATCTTGGTTTGGCTTGTTACTTCAAAAAGTGGCAACACCCGAGTCTAAAGCCACAGCTGGATGTCTGATCTGGTCTTTAAATATAATTAATTAGAAGTTAAACAAAGACAACTTTTCTTCTATCAGTTAGTATCCTGGTAGTGTGTCAGTATAACCTCAGGCTTTATGTAAGATCAAAAAGGCAAGGCTCACATTCCTCATTGAAGTCTCTGTAGGGGAGCTTTCTCCCTGTTAGTTCTTTTGCTCATTAGCAACCACTGCTATTCATCAGTTTGAAACAAAAAATGCTTGGTTTCAGTCATGTGAAGTGCCTCTTTTATTTTATTCAAACAAACAATGTCATTAACCCAATGATTCTCAAATGAGTTCGAGACTCACAGTTGTAGGCCAACCTGCACTAACATCAACAACAAAAATAAACCTCTTCAAGACTGTCCTCCAGGATAATTTGGACCTTAAAATGGGGTCTTAAGTCATCTTTAATGAAATATTTCCAAAAATGTTTGTAGTTCAAAAGTTAAATGAAGTCCTTTTTTCTGCAAAGCAGTTTTTGTCCAGACAATTCACTCCGTCTTGCTTGTCTGACCAGTTGACAATGATGATACACTTAGTTCTTAAATGCTTATTAAAGTAAATAAAAGAGAAAATCTATAAAAGCTTTAATAATAATAATAATACATTTAATTTCAAAGCGCTTTTTCAGGTGCTCAAAGACGCTTTACAGTGGTGATAAAACGAGAAAAAATAGAATACAAAAATATTAAAACAGCAACACAACATAATCCACAAATTAAAAGCCATTCTGAAGAGGTGTGTTTTGGTCAGTGTTTTGAAAGTGGGGGGGTCGGTGCAGTCTCTGATGTGTTGTGGAAGGGAGTTCCAGAGGGTGGGGGGCAGCATGTTAATTTGTCATCTCATTGAGTCAAGTTTATCCACTGTAAATTAGTTTCATACAATCCTTCCCCATTCGTTTTTGATTATTTTAGTAACGCTAGCAAGTGACACAAGTGTCAAAATCACACATATAAAACAGCGGACTTGTCAAACTTGTAACAGATATTGATTTTGTTTCCTGTAGGTTGCGCTGGTCTGCATGTACACACAGTATACAGCTTGTCTGATAATGACAACACGGGAAGAATCTGCAGAGTTTTGAAAGTATATTTGTAGTAGTATTTGAAGTACACACTTCTTCTCCCTGGCCTTTTAGTCAGAGCGGAGCACGACTCCTGACTTTTCCCTGTGTTTTTTTTTAAATATCTGTTGTAATTTATTGTCTTTTATTGTGATTGTAGAAATGTGTTTTTATGTGATTGTAGTTATTACATGTACAGCACTTTGGCCCGACCAAAAATCGCTTTTAAATGTGCTTTATAAATAAACTTTGATTTGATTTGATTTGATTTGATATATGGGTTGCTGTTGAAAAGTTTTAGGGTATGAATGAACTTAATAAGCACATTCCATAAGGTGCTTTCCATGTTGATATTATCGCTAGATGTTAATTTTTTTATTTTATAATCTGTATTTCCCTTCTACAGGCTGCCCTGTAGATCCCAGCAAGAGGAAGGCAGCAGACGTGATGCCGTCCCATCCTCACATCATCACGCCTTGCGTAGTCACCGGTGGCTTCAGAGGAGGAAGCCTGTCGTCGAGAAATACCCTCCGACTCAATGGTAAGCACTTTCATCCACAGCCCAGTGGATCCTGTCAGTGTTAATGTACTAACATATCAATTAACTTCACTTTCATTAACCGTGCAGCCAACATTTTATTCCACTTAGTGTACTGTATGTCTAAACACATGTATATTTGTGGATTCTACGCCACAGAGCAATTAGTGCCTTTCATTTGGGCGGTGACTATGCTGCTGCTTTTATCAACACCACCAGATCCATTTCACATTTGGTCTCTTGGCTGCACCACTGCACCACTCAATTTTCAGCCTAATTGAGCCTGCAGAAGCATCTCTGGTGGCCCGCCACAGTCCAAGTGGAGGAACACACACACTCGGGGAAAGCAATTTTTTCCCTCAATTAGACAAGCTGTTTCCAGTCAACTGATTTGTATTCCTTAATTTGTCCTTTTAACAGGACTATGCTTCAAAGACACACACATGCAGTTAGAAGCATCAGAAATATACAAAAAAAAATGTATTATGTTTTTTGGGGTTTTCCCTATCTTGTAGTGTGTAATATATGTTTTTGTGCAGGTATGTGGTCTGCAAAGGCTAAATCCCAAAGCTCCTCCAGATGGAATTTCTTAAACATATTGTGTAAGGGACAGGCTAAAGAGGCGGGACATCTCTAAGTGGTTGACCGATCACAACAGAGCCGGCCAGCTAACCAATCAGAGCTCTGGTTTCAGACAGAGGGTGAAAAGAGGTGCTGCAGTACAGGCAGTATGAGAAAAATAAAGAGCTTTTTGAACATTAAAGCATGGAAACATGTCACAGTAGAGGCAGAAAATACAAATATGAACCTGATATGCATATGTGCTCTTTAAGTCTGGCAGATCTACATTTACATCACACCCTGAGGAGAACAGACCTCAACATTGTTATACTGTATATTGTATTACATTTCACATATATTTGCGTACTAAAACACTGATCATAAATATTCATATGAATTCACAGATAAACAAACATGTGCTGTTAGCCTTGGATTTACAAATAAATGCATGCTCACTCCAAACATATTCCCCAAACTGTTGCAATAATTTATTCCCAGCTCGTGTCTTGTTACTGTGCAGACACGGTCTGTTCACTGTTTGCTTTGTTTCTTACCTGTCTCCCTCATCCTCCCCACCATCTCTCCACTGCTCTTGTCTCTCTTACAAACTGAACTCTTTGCTCTTTCCACTCCACCTTCCCGTGGCATTTAAAAATACAAGGACCCTAATTGCTTTCACTGGAGCCCACTCGCAACAGTTAGCAACGCTGTGTGTGTGTGTGTGTGTGTGTGTGTGTGTGTGTGTGTGTGTGTGTGTGTGTGTGTGTGTGTGTGTGTGTGTGTGTGTGTGTGTGTGTGTGTGTGTGTGTGTGTGTGTGTGTGTGTGTGTGTGTGTGTGTGTGTGTGTGTGTGTGTGTGTGGGTGTGGGTGTGTGTGTGTGTGTGGGTGGGTGGGTGGGTGTGTCGGTGTGTGTCCCACTCCTGCCTGCCTGTGGCTCTAAAGGAAGCAGACACTATCTGGTTAGGTGACTGGCACACGACTCAATGCCTCTCAGATAAGAGGACTTGGGGAGAAATGTCAGGGATTTAGAGTGGGGCAAGAAAAAAGAATAAAACCTGAATAAAAGTGTGTTTTTAATATACTTCAGTTTATGTTGTGTCGTCCCTTTAACCTGTTGTGTTTTTTTGTATTCAAATACAGCATGACTAGTTTTAGATAGTGGGGGCTGTTGTCTGGTTAGATGCCATTGGTTGTCGTAACATTAAGCAGTTAATTATGTTAGTCTAGAGAGCTCAACTCACTGCAGCTAAAGAAAACTTGTTTGTATTGTTAGATAAAATGATGAAGAAACCATCAATATTTTAGAACACAACACATCCATCTGTAAAAAATGTAATGCATAACCCAAGTAGAAACAAATTGCAATAAGCGTAGAACAAACAAAACTGAGTTAGAACACAAAACCAGTTTCCAGGGAACTCTTAAAAACTCATGAACACAATACGTTTTTAATTGTCTTAACGTTTGATGAATAACAAATATCTCCAGTAATATTGGCATCATGCAATCTTAACAGTTGCCTCCTGGGAATCTACATTTTTGGTTGAATCTGTTTCTTAATGTGCTTGTGTTTCATATATGTGCAACTGTTTTTTCTTCCCAAATTGCAAAAGCCAATGATGGCCTTTTCTTAATTTGCTCGTGTTTTCTCAATATGTATGTGTTTTCCTAAGCTCCAGTTCAGCAAGCGTCTTATTTAATGAAAGTTCATGTCGGAAATAAGATACACGAGATACAGAGCCGATACCAAAATACTTTTGAAGCCTTTCTTTGGGGAATAAACAGGTTTTTCGGAATTTTTTTTAATTTTCCATTCAATGCCTAAAGTCATACAAGAACTTCTGGAATATCGGATTATAAATGTACATCCCAACTAGCATTTGGTACTTTTTGGCCTTTTTTTTGCAGTGCTTCATTCATCTTCCTTTAGTTTTAGTTCATATAGACAGCTCTGTGTTTTTGTTTTTCAAAGAGTGGGATTGGCGTATGCTCTTGTTGAATATTTTCTAGTACACGGGTATTCCCATTTCAATCCAGTTCAAATTAGACTGGATTACTGACTCATACCATAGATGAATCAGGTATTTAAATGTGATGTTTGGTGCAAAGGATACATTCCAAAGATAATTTAGGAGGAAGGAGGCAGTCTGTTTACCCAGCAGTAGGGCTTTGGCCCAGTTGTAGTGGTGCCAGTTGTTTGACTGGACTGTTGTCTGTGTTCAAGCTGTTGTTCCTTGTGCTCCAACAATACTTTAATCTGTCAGCGCCTCTCTCCCTTGGACATTTGGAGGGTCTTTGAGAACATATGGTCAAAATGGCAAAGAGATTACATTGCGCTCTGTTCAGTTAATATATTCATTATTGCGGCCTGTCTCTCCTTCACAGCGAGGAATGCTGCGCAAGCACACAGACTGGAGATGGATGGGGATAGCGAGCCGTTGTTCGGACGCGGGATCGGATCGGACTCCTTTGTGCCCGCAGACCACAACCTCAGCGAGGCCGACGGTGTGCGCCGCAAGCTCGACTGCATGGCCGCCGTCCATCAACGGGAGGGCAAGGAAGAGGCGGAGGTCACGGTTAGTTCAAACGTTGAACTTGGGCCATTGGGGAGACAGGAATGGCTGCTTATCTGTAAAGCAGAACCACCACAGGCCGTCTCAAATCTCAAACTGACAACAAAGGCAAAGAAACTGCTTTCATTCTTGCCCCGAAACATGTCAGGAGGCAGTTTTCATCGAGGCGTTGATCGTCTCGCAGACAGCGTGCCTGTGTTACAATTCTCGGGGGGGTGTGCCCTTCAACCCTGGTGTTTCAGTGACTGTACAAGAGGGTGTTAATTGTTCTTCTACCCGAAAGCTCATCTTGTACTTTCACTCATGGGTGCACATGCTAAATGTGATTTTGGCTGTGGTGCATGTCTGTCTCAGACATTTTACACATCGCATTTCCTGTGGTGAGACCTGTGTTTTAGTTGTTTCACACCTCAGTAACAGCCGATACTATGTGGAATATTACTCTGCTTGCACAGGAAAGAGATTTGAGGAGTTGCTTTGCAATTCAATTAGACTTTTCTGCGCTCATAGCCACAACCTAATTTGGTAAAGCAAAAAAATTAGCAAAGTAGAGATAGCCATTCTGTTTTCTTTAACCTCTAATGAGGGACAAAGCTTTAGAAACCTAATGAATAAATCAACGCTAAAACTCTGTATATTATGTTGATTATTTTCCAACACTTTTACTTAGTGAGCGATGGAAATTGTTAATGTATGTAATTGTTTTGCCAAACCTTTGACAAATATAATGGCCTTAAAGGTTTTGAAAAGGTGGTTTCAACACTGCCATGAGGTAAAGTTTATTACATAAAGCTTTCCTGCTGGAAAAGCATCCATTCCAAGTACATCATGTTCCAGCTATAACATCTGATCAGAATGTAGCCTTGGAGGGACTGTACATGAAGAATATGTTGTTGTATGCCTTTCAATACAACAGTTGTTGAGATTCCGGAACAAAACAAGATTGATAGAAAGACGTCAGATGGTAAAACGATTGGTAAATGTTGGTAATAGTGTCTTGTAGCACTACACATCTGTGTTTTCAAACTGAAGCATGTACGGTAAGTCAAGTCAAACCAGGACGTTTCTTTGTAGACTGTGCTTCATGTTACAATGGAAAGTTTGAATAATAATTTTACATATCTTACTCTCCTGATATTGTGTTGTGATATTGGAATTTCCTTTGCTCTTGACAGGGTCGGACTAAGGAAGCAGGGTTGGCCAGAGGACTTAATAAGATGAAACCCAGCGAACAGCACAGCAAGGCAGAGTGTATCGCCAACATGCTGAGCCAGGCCATTACTACCCAGCACCTGCTCTACGCCAGCCTGGGCTCTGCTGAGTACACAGAGTTCGTCCTTAGAAATCCCTTTAACACACCTCAGACCGTCACAGTTCACATTGACGACCCTGAGTTCAGGTAAGACTCTGGTTTGTTTACTGGGATCATTTTCCACGTAAAAAGAGGAAACCTGAGAACACTATGACGTGTTTGTACATTGATAGGTGTCCCAGTCCAACACCTCCGACTGTGATGATGTGCTTTTGTGATGTGATTGTTTTCCATCACCCCCCTCCCCATTAGCCGCACAGTGAAACTGTTCACATGTTCTCAATGTGTTCCCAAAGGTGGGAGTGCAAAGACAGAACCTATTTTCACCCAGCTTTAGGAAAGGATGCTGCATCCTCGCGCTTGAATCTCCCCAATGTGAGACATATCCAATCCAGTGCTTTGCTCTTTGAAGGGATGCTTTAGCCCTTCCCTAGTTCCTCTGAATTTTTCACCACTAGTCTTAGCTTCAAGGGTTGCTTAAAACACCTTGTGAATACAGAATGCTTAACAGAAGAGGGCAGTAAAGCAGCATTGCACTGGAAATGAGTCATTGTTAACACATGAGGAAGAAGAAAACAGATGACTCTCTACACCTGACGTTTATAGTTAGTACTGTGTATAACAAGTTTCAAGTGGCATCCTATTCTGCAGTTCATTTATCACTAACTAACTCAAAGTGCTCCTTTTTGGAGGCTTCTCAAAACCAAGACTGACTCTATAGAAAAAGGTCAATTAAAGCTCCATTAAACATCAGTAGGAGCTAATAGTGCCACTAATTCATGATGCAGATTCGTTCCATTTGTCATTGTCACCTTTACACTAATTAGTTGGCAATTGGAAAACAAAGTTTTGTTTGAGGAATTTACATTTTTAAATTAGAATTGTAGCTACCATCATAAAATGTACAGCTATATATTGGACCGTCTGTGACTGTATACATCTTCAGTTGACTAGCATTAATACGGTGTGCACCAAAACTGACCAAAACGACCAATTAGTCAAAGGTTCAATTTAGAGGGAGCAGCCTTTTCCATTCTCAATCTTTTGTTTCTGTTGTTCAGAATATGTTGTATCCAGTGGTGGAATGTAAGGAAGTACATGTAATACTTAAATACCATTTTGAATGCAGAACGTTTACTTGTAACTGAGTATTTTGACACTGTAGTGTTGATACTTAATAATACATACTTTTTTTTACTAAAGCTTATATGGTTGTGTTGCAGTGCAGTATAGAAATACATACATAAACAAACTTCAAATTCTGTAAGGAATGGTAAAACTGAAGTAAATTATGAAGCACTTCACCACCAGCAAGTGAAGATGATGTTTGTGTGACTGCGTGTTTTATTCAGGTTGTGGGAGTCTGACTCACAGCCCGCTCACAGTTTTGATATGATGCATGTGTGTGTAGGCGTGTACACATTGATGTGTGTGTATGCTTGTACCTAAACACTTCCAGTTTGGAGACGTGATAGGATAAATTCAGATTTGTATCGACTGTTTGCAATCTAGTTGCGACATTTCTCTCCATTCAAAACACACTGCAGGCCTATAACCATAGAAGCTTCTAGCTCCTCCAGCAGCACAATCAGTTGTCCTTGACACAGATGCAAACATAAAACTGTTGAGATGCTAAACAACCCTTTTAATCCACACATAGAAACCATTATGGCTGATATTTCCTGGATCACCCGTTCTTGGTATCCATGCCGTGTTTGTTTCCTTCACTTAGCGTCATTGCTAATCCCGAGCACTGAATCTTTTGTTATGGATTCTGCTCATGCCTGAGTTTTGGATTAACATACATCACGTTGATCAACAAAGGCTGGGGTGCGCCATGGATGAATCATTATGGCATTAGCCCGGCCACCGGGCCTACCAGGTTTAATTGAGAGTAATCAATCCCTGCATCTGTCCTCTCTCCGGCTTAGCACCCTGATAGTTTATTTATATATTTCCTTATGAGGTAGCGTGACACTTTACACCAAACCGTCTGCCACCTCTACCAACAGCCAGAGATGTGTAAATTAGCTAGGAAGCTTTTGAATTTAATGTGTTATACTGCAGCAATGTGAGTTTCAAGTATCAAATTAAGGTAACGAGTTCATGTTGGGACAATTCACTGAGGAAAGCAATGCTCTAAACAGTGTTTTTATTAAATCTGCAGTAGTGTTCTGGTGTGTTGTTTGTATGCAACTGTTATCTCCACACAAGAGATTAAGTAAAACATTAAATAATGTCATTATTACCTGGTCCTGCATCACAGATGAATGATTTGCAAATGATGCCTTCTGGGTTTATATCTCTTTTTTTACAAGGAAGATAACATTTTCTCATGATTTAGTTAACATTAAAACAATCTTCTTTACTCAATGCTCCACCTGTTCTACTAGAGAAATAGGGTATTATAAGTCATTTAAGAGAAGATGATGCAAATGGTCTGCAAAGGTTAAAATCCCAAAGATCCCTCCAGAGGGGGTTTCTCTCCCACACACCACTGTCTGTGTCTAAGTGGATGTCATTGAAGACCTTTACAAGAACAGTCTCAGTGCTGTGGTGTGGACGAAAGCCTGACTGGAACACATCGAACAGTTATTTAAATTCAAGAAATGACTCAGCTGCTGAAAAACAACTTTTTCAATGATTTTACCTAGAAATGGGAGGTTTGATATGGGCCTGTAATTGTTCATTACTGAAGCATCTAGATTATTCTAGATTCTAGAAAAACACTTTTGAAAAGTGCTTGTTGGAATAATATTCAATTCAATTCAAACCTTTATTTATCCAGATGAAATCCCATTGAGATCATTGATCTCTTTTTCAAGGGAGACCTGCAATCTCAATATCAAGGCAGCAGGGGGAGGGTTTCAGTTGTTGTATAATGTCTTCTAGGTCTTTATCATTAATCAGATGGAATTGTTTCATGGTGTTTGAATTGATTTGAAGTGGACACAGGGAAAGGAAAACATTTGCTGTTCCTGGTACAGAGGCACTGACTGCTTGTCTGATTTTCTGAATGTTGTCAGTGTTTCTTATTTACTACAAACCTATAGTCTGTGGGTGCAACACACAGGCACAGACTAAAAGTCATTGGTTGCATTAGGGAATGTTCCTGAAAAGTAAATGGATTTTGATGAGAATTCCAAAGAAATCCTTTGATCTGAATTCCAAGTAATTATCACTCCTCTACATGTCATTGTGTTATGCAAACCTTTTATTGAAATGTACAACATTAATTAGCCATATTTAAATGATATATTATTTTCTTACACTAGTCTGCCATGTGTTTGAAGAACTGGAAAATATGTACACAATCAAAAACACTGGCCCCCGTACCTGTACTCTCCTGGACTGTGTGAACCATAGCATGGTCAGTGGGCCGAGGCTGCTTTTCTTTGTCAATATTTTAACCAATATTTGACAAGGCCTTGGGTTAGCACTTTGTTTCTACCGAAAGAAAAAAGGTCTGAGCCTCATCCTGATATCAAGTGTCAGGCTTTGAAGGAAGAGTACTTAGAGAGAGGCTAGGCTAGCTGTAGCTTTGATGTCTGCAGTGGTTTAGAGCCTCGAGCCTCCTCTTGAAGTGGAGCACGCGTTTGCTACCTTTACCATCCATTTTGCATGGCTGCTCTTACGCTTGGCCTCAGTGTGAGCCATGACTGCTGGCCCATAGTGAGAGGAGATGACAGCTCCTCTGCTGATGTCCACACTGCTGCTTTATCTTTCATTATTTCCCACTCCCATTATGTCTTTCCTGTATTTACCTCAGTCTGTTTGTCCTCTTCACCACCTTCCACCACCACCTATTTTCTTTTGAAAAATAGAACATGGGAATCTACCCTATGATTTATTTTTTCAGAAAGGCTGAGGGAAAAATCTCTCACACACACAGACACACATTGATAACATGTTTTATTCCAAGTGCACAGGTGGGAATATACAGGTTAGTGTCATGGAATTGACTGTAGCATCTCTCCCTAAAGTAAGTGAGGTGGGGCCCTAAAGAATTCATAAACTCTCTCTCTCCTATTGAGAAAGATCCTTCTTCTCCATGCCCATGGGTTGGCGTGTTTGAAGTTTAAATCAGCACTTCCCCTTTATGCATTTGTGCATGGAATTGTTTGCATTCAAAGGAAGGAGAGACAAGACGTCCCACTGTTGGAAAGTCTTATCTGATCCTGTTGCTTTTCCTCCATAGAAATCCATTTGATGGAGATTGAGAGGGGTTTTCTCTGACCTTTATACACTTTTATGAAAGCTTTGGTCTGTACTGAAAAAGAACGCATTGACTGCTCAACTCTGGAATAAGCTTGCCTCAATTGTTGGCACTACAATGAACTTTACTAGAATTAGATTGTCAGAATGGGAGATCAGTACTGTTTGTCAGTGCTCAAGAAATTGTATTTTCTTAGAGAGGGGATCTGGTATAAAATGAATAATTACTGTGGTTTGCAATGGTCACACGTCAAACAATTGCACATATAAACAATACTTCCCTATGTGAGAACGATGTGAAATGGGAAGATGTGTTGTCAAGAACCTTTCAAGAATAACTATCTTTGCCCAGATCAGCACCTCCTTTTAGCTTTTGTGAGTTACAGCTCTTTGTTTAATTTTCTTGCGTTAAACTCCACTGTTTTGGCCTTAAGAAAACAGTTGACCATGAGATGACTTCCTTACTAGCAACCACCTCAACTGGCTCCTTTTTATGAAAAGGAGTGACGGCTTTACAACCGAGTTCCTCCTGAATGACTGAACTTCTCACCTCATCCCTCCAGAGAAAACCTATTTATTTCGCATGTGTTCACAATCTTGTTTTTCCGGTCATGAACCACTCTTTAGCACCTTAGGTGAGGGTAGCAATCCAGAGGGGAGACTCACGTTTTTCAAGACCTATTTAAATCACAAAAAATATGTACACTGATTTTATTTACTGAGCATATTCAGGATCTCCAGATGATTAACCATTTCGATTTTGCACACCTTCCCTTTGATTCTAATGGATTTGATCTAGATTTTGGATACAGATTGATTTGAATCCAATGTCTTTTATTTACCACTATGGCCATACTCCGTTAATGTTCTGTTTGGAACCATCTTATCATACTGTAGAAGGAGCAGTGTTAAGCAGTAAGGGTTTTATTCCTGATACGGTAACAAATCGAGCCCTGATCCTAAATGGATCCCTTAAAGATATTTTTTAAAAAGCCTGCTTTCATGTCTCTCATGTCCTTTAATCTTTCCATTCAGTGTCATCACTGATACAGAGGAGTGGGGTTACTTCAAAGCACTAACCAAAACTCCAACCCGGCTGGAGGAGAACATGTTCCACTTGGAGGAAGGTGCTCCAGGTCCCAGGGTTTACCTCCGGCCCAAGGAGAGCCTCCATATTCCCCTGAAATATCAGAGCTTCATCTGCGACCACACCATGGCTCTACAGGTAAAGACACCAGAGGTTAATGCGGATGGAACGGTCAACATATAATAACATGTTAAGGAATGGTAAGGATGCCGTTTTAGGCTTGTAACACAATCAGAATTACCTTGGTTTCTCACACTGCCAATTTCAGTTATGAGAAAAACATTTAATATTGATTGGCCTTGAATGGTCCACAGATGTGTGGGAATAGTGCGGGAATAAGAGGTAAAGCAATGATAAAAGTGTACATTTCACTGATATAAATATCAATACATTTCACAGATTATTATATGAAACATCACTGATCTATTCTGTAGGCAAGTTATACGGTTAATGTCTTCATGTAATGTCTACTTAACAGTTAATTTGATGCCGGAAGGACTGTGAGACATGAATATTGTTTACAAATCTTATCTCCAGTAGATTACTGTGGGTTTTACGGCCTCCAGTAAAAAAGAAAAAGCAAAACGAAGAAAATGTTTTTTTTATTGATAATGTTTTTTTTATGTCTTATCATTTCTCGCAGGGACCAAGCTTTCTTCCTACAGGCAAAGGTTCTCAGCTGGCCAAGAAGAATCTGTCCAATATTGTCGCCGCCAAGACGATCAAGGTAAAAAGTGGTTTGCTTATCCTTTGTGAAATATTTTCTGTGTATTGGACACTTCTTATCTCCCTCTGTAGTCGCCTGCCTCTCAATCCCTCGGTTGTTTGTTTCCAGGCTGGAATTAGAGGTATGGATTTGAGAAGCATAGTGGATGTACAGTATGTTTCTGCAGAGATAAGAGCTTTAATGTAGTCCATTTAAGCATCTTAGGGTATAAACTGTAAATTGATTGTAATATTCAGAGGAGTAGAGGAAGACAAAGCCTCATAAACTAGTACGAAGTTTCTGATCTGGAAGTTAATCGGGTTAACTTTTTGGTACATCACTAGGAACATCTAGTGCACACACACACACACACACACACACACACACACACACACACACACACACACACACACACACACACACACACACACACACACACTCCCAGGGAAGTCTCTGCGGAGTGGCAGCGCACCACCCACCCCCTCCTTCTTCCACACACAGACACAAAGAACACTTTGAAGTGTCAACTATTTAAAAAGTTACACTAGCAAGGCAAGATTGTCAAGTGAAATGATATGCTGAAATCCCTTTTATCTTACTCAACATTGTTTATCTTCTCCAACTGGAAAATGCCTGGCTGGAGGGTTAAACTGTCCCCTATTGGAGGACAGCTTGACACGTCTGGCTAATCTACTCTAAATGAACTATCCGTGTATGGCATTACTGAAGTTATTTTGCTATTTTATGCACTTATTCAACCGTTTATTATATAAAGAGTGGAAGAAACAATGTGAACTTTTTTCCCTTATAAAAACTGTTAAAAAACCCTCTCTCTCTACTTGGGATTAAAAGTTCACATTTGTGCTGCTAAAAAATCACAGTTTGCTAACCTGCAGTACCTCGCAATAATCCTGTTGTTCGTGTGGAGCTCTCCCATTGCACCGGGTGATGAAATATTTGCCAGTCCGCCAAGAGTGTGTGTCTGCAGAAGGCATTGTGTGTGTCTGTGTGTATTTGTGTGCCGGTGTCAGCACTGCTGCTATGAGCAAAAATCCTGTCAAGAGGTCAAAGAGGTCACGCCCGGATCAAATCGGTGTCCTGCTAAAACTGACAATTCCCAACAGCAGGACTGTCAGGATGCCAGCTTTGGCACAGCCGTCAGTCAGCACACATCACCAGAGCCAAATATGGGCCACTACTGCGGGTCAGCATGGGCCCCGCAAATCTGACACATCAACCATTTGGACAGCTGTTGTTTGGCAGGGGTCAACTTCTGAGTATGAGAATCAATGACTAAAATGTGGAGAGTTAACGTATAACTATACTCCTATACTTATTCATATATATTAACATATGTTAAGCAGTTGTAGTGAAGGTCCTCTGCATTGTTTGGAACGCTTTTCATGCTGTAGAATGGCATAGATTTGTATAAATTAATGTAAGAAATAATTGCACCACACACTGGGGTTGAATCTATTTTATTTCATTTCATTCCCGAACATTAAAGCCTTTCACGGAATGAGATGATTGCTACTCATTATGAAACTGCTGTAATAACTGCCTCGACTCTTCTGGGAAGGCCTTTTTCAGAAGATGTTGTAACCTGACTGACGGGATATGCTCCCATCCGGTCTTAGGTGCATTAGTGAGTTCAGCTACTGATGTTCTCTGATACAGTAAGTTCCTGGCTCGCAGTCTGTGGTACAGTTAAGGCCAAATGTGTTGGATTTGGTTGGACTTGAAGCTCTGAGCCAGTTCCCCAGCCTTTGCACTAAATATTAAAGCGCTATCAACAAGTGTGAGTGTTTTCCCCAAACAAAGCCTGCAGAAATCCAAGATAGCTGCTCTTTGATTTTATATGTGTAATTGAGATAAACACCTGGTTGGTCGGCACCTTACATCTTACCTACCTGTAATCTAAACACTGCAGCCTCTCTATCGGACCTTAAAATATAAAACAAACATAAACTAAAACAATAATTGTTGCATTTAAAAAGGTTCAAATTGTGCCACTGGACAGTAGTCAAAGAAAGTCAAAGTCAGCTTTATTGTCAATAATTCTACATGTTGTACATCCAGAAATATCGAAATATCGTTTCCCGCAGTCCTACAGTGACATATATACATCAAACAAAAAACAAAAATGGCCTAGATAAACATGGTATACATTTTAAAATGTTAATAATATAATTTAAGTGTTCAAAGTACAGTTTCAGTGCAGTAGCAGCGGAGATGGGCAGAAAAGTGAGTTAGGGGGTTAGAGTCCAGGACCATTTGGGGCAGGGGAGAAAGGTCGGAGGCAGGGTGGAGAGTTCAGGGGAGAGATGTCAGAGGGCGGAAGAGATGGAGGGAGGGGAGAGAGTTCAGCAGCCTGACCGCCTGGTGGAGGAAGCTGTTGCCCAGCCTGGAGGTGCGCGAGCTGAGGCTGAGGAACCTTCTTCCTGAAGGCAGGAGGCTGAAGAGGCTGTTGGAGGGGTGGATGGAGTCACCCACAATGCTGAGTGCTTTGCCGGTGAGGCGGGTGTTGTATATGTCCTGTAGTGATGGGAGTGAGGCACCGATGATCCTCTGGGCAGAGTTCACAATGCGCTGCAGGCTCTTGCGGTCGGCGGCGGTGCAGCTTCTGAACCACAGCGTGATGCAGCTGCTGAGGATGCTCTCGGTGGCGCCTCGGTAGAAGAACAGCATGATGGGGGGTGATGCTCCGGCTCGCTTGAGCTTCCGGATGAAGTACAGGCGCTGCTGGGCTTTCCTCGCTAGAGCGGTGGTGTTGTTTTTCCAGGTGAGGTCCTCAGTGATGGTCACACCAAGGAATTTGGTGCTGGTCACCTGCGTCACAGCAGCGCCGTTGATGGTCAGGGGGAGTGGGGGTCGACGGTGGGTTCTCCTGAAGTCAACAACTATCTCCTTTGTTTTCTCCAGGTTGAGGAAGAGGTTGTTGTTTTGGCACCACAGGGCCAGCTGGTTCACTTCCTTCCTGTAGTTAGTCTCATCGTTGTTGCTGATGAGACCCACCACAGTAGTGTCGTCTGCAAACTTCACGATGTGGTTGTTGCTGAAGGTGGGTTTGCAGTCGTGGGTCAGCAGAGTGAAGAGAAGGGGGCTGAGCACACATCCTTGGGGGGCCCCCGTGCTCAGTATGGTGTCTGAGGTGTTATTGTTGACCCGTACAGCTTGTGGTCTCTCTGTGAGGAAGTCCAGCAACCAGTTGCAGAGAGAGGGGCTGGGGCCCAGGTCTGTACGTTTTTGTACAAGCTGCTGGGGGATGATGGTGTTGAATGCTGAACTGAAGTCTATGAATAGCATTCTGACATAAGGGTCCTTAGTCTTAGTCTTAGCCTTAGTGTTAGTGTCCAAGTGTGTGAGGGCTGGGTGGAGAGCGGAGGAGATTGCATCCTCTGTGGACCGTTTAGCTCGGTAGGCAAACTGAAACGGGTCCAGTGATGGGGGGAGGGTGGATTTGATGTGCTTCATGACCAGCCTTTCGAAATGGAATCTTGGCCTGATGGCAGAAAGCCATGATATCCAAGGCGAAGTGGCATTAGCTCAGTCTGTAGGGACTTGGCTTGAGAACCAAAGTGTTGCTGGTTCAAGATCCAATCAGACCAAATTATAGAGTTTGAACTGGTACCTGTAGAAATTCTGCCCTGTTTTGGCACAATTGGAAAGTTCAGGGAGTTAACTAAAACATATGGCTCATCTACTGTCTGGAGACAGGACTATTCTCAGCAGATATCATGTGAATTAGTCCATGAAATTCCTAAAAAAAGTATGTATTGGACTGTTAGATAAATAAAAACGAATGCCGTTAATGGCATTAAAGGTTATTATATAAAAGCTGAAAACCCTCCTTGATTGATCTTCAACATCCAACAAAAACTAACGGGCCGATCCTCAAACTACTAATATTGCTATCTTAGGCCACTTTGCTAACTTATCCATAGTACGACATACTGTACAGTACATTGCCATAGTATTGCTAGAGATACTAAATGAAATACTTGTATTACAGTATGTGTGTAATCGAGCAGCTTCATTATAATTCATATCCTGCAACTCAGTTACATGTAATCTATAATCCTCACTCCCAGCCATAGTTATGCATAGCGAATCAATCTTATAAATGAAGCAAACTAAAGTTTAAGATGGCGTAAAGTATGATGTATGTGGGAGGGTTGGCAATTCAATATGTTTGCATATGTTAGTGTGCAGCAGCATGTGTATATACCATCATGTGACACCATATTTAATTAGTGCATATGTATGTAACACATTTGTGTTGATTTGCACAGATCAGATGCGGAGGGCTATTAAAATGCAGCAAACTTCAAAGCACATTCAGCAGGTCTGTAGGGGTTTCACTAGCAGGATTGAAGCCAGTGTTTATATTCTAGTGTACAGCAGAGCTCCATCATCATCATAATCTCTAGGGGATTTTTAAATAAAACCTCTCTAAGGCTGCTTTATAAACTGCTGTATATGTTGTTTAGAGCTGAACTGCCTCAGGAAGAAAACATGGTAATGCTAGTTCTGTATTTCACTAACAGCAGTCGAGAACTTTGAATGCAGGTCTCATGACACAGGACGAGTGTAGTTTGAATGTGTAGGTAAACTAAAGAAATTATAAAAATAAAATAAAACATAGCCAAAATTGACAATGGTATACTCATTTACTGTAAATATGTTTAATAGTTAAGATAATGACATCCTGGTTTGATGTTCTATACTTGACGTAGATCTGCACACAGTTTTCCTATGCAATGAGTTTTACAAAAATGTCTGATATGCTCAATTTTATATTCATACCCAAATGAAGTGGGTTAGTCCAAAAAGTGTTTTATTTACATTTAACATGTACATGTATACACATATTAATTTTATTTGCTCAAAAGTATTGAGCGTAAGTATTTTTCAGTGAATCATTTCCCTTGTTTATGCCCTCAAGCATTCTTAAAATAAAACTGTATGAGAAATAAAAACTGCTCATAGCTTATGAAGAGAGCAATTAATAATAATAAGTAATTGCATTTTTATTTAAGCGCTTTACATTACATAATACATATATCAGACATGTAATACATCAATACTGTGGACAATACCCACATAACAGGAGCAATTTAGGTTGAAGGGTCTTGCCCAAGGACACAATAGCATATTGACTGCAGTGGCAATCAAGGTGGGATTGAACTGGTGTTCCCCAACTCCCCTGATCTGAGGTTCAGCGCACTATCCCACTGCGCCACAGCTTCCCCTTAAGTGCGTAATAAGGCCATCATTTCTGATCCTAAGTTAATAGGGCTTTTTGTAAGGGGCTGCATGCTGAAAGTTGGGAATCACTCATTTAGAAATTTGGCAAAGCTGATGGCTTGTTTACAACCAAGTGTCATCCTCTGATCGCTCATGTTTCTGCCCTGTCGACTCTGTTAATTATGATGTTAACATAACTCATAGATATGATTGGAATTCCTAAATTGTACAAGCTGTACTCATTAATCCATCTTTTACTTTTTTATTAGTGTTTGGCTGGAGGGTTTTTACTCCCCTGTGTTAATAAATATCTGTTTCATGGCGGGGGATCGGTGCTCTGCTGATATTTCTTACTTTTTACATTCTCTTGTAGGTAACGTTCAAAGCAGAAGACGGCAAGCCCATGGCCATCTGCCAGGTGAACGTGGAGCCGACCCCTCACGTCGTCGACCAGACTTTCCGCCTCTACCACCCCGAGCTCTGTTTCCTCAAAAAAGCCATCCGCCTGCCGCCCTGGCATGACCCCTCAGGTAGCGCAGGATACCCAAATTCTCCCCTATCAGCCATTGCTTCCTGTCCCACCCTTCCTCCCTCAGTCTAGGGATGGACTTGGATATTTTCTGATTTATTGCGTCTTATTTTTTTGCATATTATTACATTGTTAGTAGTGTTAGTTCATCTTCAGAAGGTGACTTTCCAGGAATAGCTTCAGCATAAAAATGTCCACACAAGTTATTTGCAGTATACAAGGTGGATGTGTTTAAATAATCTATTCTACACTTATTTCTATTTTTACTCAAATAGGTACAGAGCAACAGAAGAAATGCGTTTATGCATCACATTTTGTCAGAATGACATCCCAATGATAACATTAAAAAACACTGCTTATGCTGCGTTCACACCGGACGCGATGCGACTATTCGCTTTGCTCTAATCCAGGGGTTTTCAAAGTGTGGGAAGGTGAGCCTCCCCTCAGAGAATATAAGAACAGCCGCGCCCCCCCTCCCAATTATTATTGCTATTATTATTATTATTATTATTGTTGTTGCTATAATGCAGGGGTATTATTATCCAGTGGAATGCCCTTACCTACTGGCCTAGTTAAATCAAAGTGGTTACTTATTTTTGTCTGGGCAGTGTAGTTTTACACACCATCTTATTTGACTTTCTCAGGGCAGACCCCACAAAGAAAAAAATATATGTACACACGTAAGGTCATCATCTTAACAGTTTTTAATGCTCGAGTCATCCGTGAGCAGAGCATCAAGTTGGCATACCTATTACAGCTGAATGCGGCGATTACCATCTTGTTCAGCAAAACGCCTCACAAACGTATTAACATCCAAAGCTTTAGTGCGTTTTGATTCAATGCTGAGCACAGCCAAACTTGACAGTCTCTTCTCTGTCATTGTAGACCGCAAATACCTTATTCCTTCCGTGTACTTGGGTCCGAATGCTTCTCGTTTTCTGCCGCCCGTTCAAATGAAATCGCCGCCAATCACATTTCCTCGCTCGCGCCAGGGTTACAAGGCTCGCGTCTTGTGCTGCATTCACTTGCACTCGGACATCAGGGATTTTCTCTGATAAATGTCCGATGAGCCACAACTTTTATTTCAAAACAAAGCTGCCAACTGGGGTGGCCAGACGCTGTCTCCTCTCTCACTTTAGGTAACTTCACTAAAAATCGATCCATGTTGCCGCTCGCATAAAGTTAGCTGAAGTTAACGAGCTAGATTTCATTGTTTCTCTTTATTTTTTTCTCACGCTGCGCCTCCCCTGAAGCTCTCTGGCGCCCCCCAGGGGAGGCGCGCCTCACACTTTGAAAACCGCTGCTCTAATCGCTCCTATCGCATCGCTCTAAACGCTGGAGGTTCACCGCGGCTGCCAGCTGTGTTTATGCTGCGTTCAAACAAGACGCGCTGGCTCGGGAGCTACAACTACAACAAATGAACATATTTTACCGTGATTAAATTGTAATACACGTTTCTAAATGATGCCGAAGTAACAACATACTGATACCGGTTAGTAACAACCATGAATTAAGGCTTTGACAAGTCTGCAGACAAGACGGCAGGCGAAAAACCTTTTAAAATGCTTGTTTTCTGAATGGAGATCGGATCGATCAGGCTAAGCTAACGTTGTCTATGCTCATTCCACACTCACAACAACGGCCTACAGACATAAATAAAGCAGCGACTGTATTCACCATGACACAGACAGTCTGTGGTTTGTACTTGTTTAACTTTTGTCCAGTTTCTGAACAGATATGAGGAGCTGTGAGCTCTGTGTGCTAACTGCTAACAGCTAACGGCTGATGTTGTGTGGTTGAACGTCAGTGACGGCGGCTGAGATTCTCACTGCTGATTGGCTTCCGCGAGAACGCGTCACGTGAATTTGACGCTCGAGTTGAAAAAATTGAACTCTCGCGTTTAACGCGGCACCGTTCAATCGCCTCAATCGTGTGATTCGCGCCGCGTCCACCGCTTCATGCGCGCCGTCGGAGCGAATTCGCGTCTGTCCACGTCTCTGCATTGACTTTACATGTAATCGCGCCGCCCCCAAACAGCGCATCGCGTCCGGTGTGAACGCAGCATTAGGGTACAGTACGTTAATGTCTGAATATTTTCTTTTTTTAATTGGGTTAACCAGTTGCAGATGTCAGTCACATTTCCGTGCGTTGCAGTGACCCTAACATCATCTGCCAGACGAGGATGCTGGTGAGAAAATTGCTTTTATTATTTTTTCAAATCTTTTCAGCCCCTAGTAAAATAACCCGAAGTAAAATCAGTTAATCAATTAGTTGTTGAAACGATTGCTTTATTAATATTGATTTCTTGTTCACTTACTTGTAACCTGTCATTACTGTCAAGCTGTTATGATTCCCCAAATGCTTGCCCTCACATGCAGTGCACTTTAAAAGATCTAACGTGGGGTTTCTTTTATTTCTGACTCTTTTGTTCCTTCATCCCTCCATTTTAAAATGTTTCTGCCTTGTTCTCTGTTTCTGTCTAGGTGCCAGGGGAGCCTCAGGATGTGTACTTGAAAGTGCCAGGGAGTCCCAGTCCACTCATAAAAATGTTCTTTGTGATGGTTTTTACGTATGTATTATTTACTGAACAGGAAACCCCATACACAGTGAAACACACACACACGCACCCAAGCACACACAGGTTAGCCTGAAGATGCATTATATGTTGGACTAATTAGATTATTCACGCTTGAATTAAAGAACTAATTAGATGGAGGTGGTCTTAACTTCCTGATAGACCCTGTCCTCTAGTCTTTCAAATCTTCATCAGAAATAAGACCAATAAAATGAGTATATATGTTAAAAGTCAGGGATTTATCATTCATCTTTGAGGTGATGTGTATGATAACATTTTGACTACTAACATTTTTGCCGCATAACTTATTTGCATTAGATTCACTGTGGAGTTTTGTGGTACACATATATGCATGTTAATATGCAGGGTCTCAGCAAGGCTCATTGCTTTGCAAAGCAAATTCTTCTATCTGCCGATTACTCAGCGGAAGCATGGACTGCATCATCTTCATGCTTGTACAGTAAAAGGGCGTCCCACTAAATGAAATACACAAAGAGAAAACTGTAGTCAGAAAACACAGGGCACCTTTACATTCAATTTGATAATTTTGAGAGATTTGTATTCACGACCAGACAGGTAACACTTTATTTTAAACTGCAGGATGAGCCTTTTCACTACAGTATTTATCCCTAGACACTGAGATCATCAGTCCTCCTTTGCTGATTTACAACAACCTGGCCCTACGTAATTTGTGTGTTCACTAGTGTGTGCTAAGTAGATTAAACACAGTTATTCAGGAACAGAGGCGGCGCTAGACTCTTTCGCTGCCCGTCATTTTGTAAAATTTCCGTCAAAATCCAGTAGTAGGGGAGGAGAGAGAGAGAAAGAAAGAGAGAGAGAGAGAGAGGGAGAGGGGGGGGGGGGGGGGGGGGCAGGCTCTTGAACTGTAGCGCCGTGTTATGCATGCCCATTGCACCTGGCGGGAGCGCGCACAGCATAAAGCAAAAACTCACAGACATTACAATTATTTGTACGGCAAAGTTAGGTTTGGAAACGATATCATTTCCATTTTGGCGGCCATGCATAACACGGCATAACACCGGAGCCTCGCTGCAGGGAAACTTTAGCGCTGTTCTGAGTTTGTTCTAATCTGTCAAAATGACGGACTGCTTTCAGATTTTTCCGTCATTGACGGAAAATATTCGGTTAACGCGACCTCTGTTCAGGAATATTTTCCTCTTTTTAGCTCAATATGGATTAGAATTATAGATGGTAGGCAGCTTTTGACAGATGGTCCCCTCTACAAGACATGGCAAGTTTATCTTAAAATAAAAAACCCTTCATAGTTGATATTTTATATAAAAACCAACCAACGGATGCAAGTGAACCTGGGAGTTTATAGCCTCTGGGGATGCAGGGTCAAGGTCAGTTTCCGAATAAATGTTTGGGAAACGTTAAATAATTGACTGTAAAAGCATTACAGGGAAATGTGATTCAATCCAGTGTTGATGTTGTGTTATGGCAGTAACACCATGTACAAAATGCAACAGAAAATATCACTTTTCAGCAGCTATACCCAGCACTAGTGATATTGCTTCTGCCTTCAGAAACCCACATCACTTGAATTCTATGCCGAATATCCCCAAATGCTCCTTAAGTGCTGTTGTCACAGAGCCGGGCTGAGTAGGTGACTACATCACCTCCCACTCACAGCTCTCATTTCAGCCAGGGCCACTGAGACTGAATTCCCTTCCTCTCTGCAGTTGAGAGGAGGCTGATGATGTTGCGGCCGCTTCTTAAAAAAAAATGCACACACAGCTGTAGGTCACCCCTCCTCATCAAAGACTTGATCCAGTGTCCCCGGGGGGCCTCAGCTTAACTGTTCCCCATGATGTTTTTCTCTGCAGTGATAAGTGGATGGCAGCTCCCTCCCAGATCTGGCAGATTTACGTGCATTTCCTGGAGCGGGTGGATGTCAGCTGTGTGAGTGGCCAGCGGAGCTGTCAATCACTGGTGCTGAGGGGGAAGCAGGCTGTACGCAAGGTCAAGTGCTTTTCGTCCCACCCACAGGAGATAGAGGTACACATCAACAGTGATTTAACACATTTTATTTGAGTTTGATAATTACACATTACCTTCATTATGCTGTAAAATGTATTGTGTTCCCAATGCAACAGAAGTTATTTGCCTTTTTCTGGATTTAAAATCTTGTTTTGCGGAAATTCTACCTTTTCTTCAACCAATCGATTGGTTGATGGGGAAATAAGTCTCCATGCCCCTTTGGACTTTTTACACTCTTCCTGGTGGTCTTAATGCATTATAAATGTAAAATGCTATTGGCAGCATATTCAATATTTATAACCTTATTTTTGTATTCCTTAATGATAACATACTTGAAATGCACACCTGCCCATATTTATATGATATGTAAAATAGAACAGCTATTGAAGCTGTCGCAAAGGACGATCAGGGTCATTATTAGCCTTGTCCATCGGCAGATGAGAGCATATTCACACTAGCCAACCCTCAAAAATGCATATGGATAGATTAAAAAACACTTTTTTCCTAATTAAAGTAACAGCAATTGTCAGTCAATCTAGAATTTGAACAAAAAGCGTTCAACTGGAAGTGTCAGCCCTACCATTTTCCTGAAGAAAATTGAGTAAAGCTGCATCAAGACCAAAACAAAATAAACCTAGGTTTAGTCAAGTCCAAATTATACTCTGCATTGTATCATATTAAAGTCTGTATACTAAAACTGTATGTCTTATACCCTAGTCAATCCAAACAGACCTTGAAGCAGCTCTCACTCTGTGCTGTAGAAAATGTTTCTTGAGACAGATGGAGAGTGTGAAGTGACATGTATCGCTGCTCTTTTGGACGCTAGCTGCTTGTTAATTGGTGGAGCATCATGCTGTTTACAGTGTTGGTGTTATTTCTGTGTTTAGGCGACCGCATTTTGGATCTAATTATCTTTGGGTCTGTTCGGAGTCTGATAGTCGTCCGTTTCTCCATTTTGGGTTTTGGACTCATGTTGATTTCTTCACTACTGCCAGAAACACTGCAATCAAATCCATAATTTACAGCACTCACACACAGGACTGCCATTTGGAGTTGTAATTTGACAAGATTTCAAAACCAACTGTAGTAGTAAGTTAAGACGCTATGCTTTGTGTTTTCAACATCCTTTCTTCCACTTGTTGAGTTTAATCTAAAGTAAGGTGCTTGTACGATTAATTTCAGTCTTCCCTGTGTGAACTTTTGTAGTTATTTAAAAAAAAAAGTAGCTTACACCAATGCATATCAACATACAGAAGATAAAATAAGAGAATTGTAAATAAAAACAGCTCAAACCATACAGTACCTTGAATTCTTTGTATCTAACATGAATTGGAGCCATTTGTTATTTTTTTCTCTTAACTTTCAAACCGCATATCCACAAAAAGGATTTCATGCAAATTGTTCTCTTAGCAGCAGGGAACAATGGAACACAGAAAGTCTCTTTTGTAATAACCCAAGGTTCATATTCGAGTCATTATCCAGAATGTACAAATGTGGATTGACAGCGTAATGGCTCTTTTCAATTCATTTCATTTTATTAGGTTACCCCATTACTTCCTGCAATCATATCACATGTTAGGACTCAATCTGACAGAAACCGAACATTTTTAATGGTTTTATGCTCCCTGAACATGTGAAATATGTTCCGGGAGTGTCATATCATCCTCTATTTTAAGATAGATCGTTTCTTATTCATAACTGGGTACAAGCAGGGAGAGAGTTTTTCAAATGCTTCTCAGTCAGAACGGCAGTAAAAGGGCATTGCATATTACTCACTCATATTAAATTAAAACAAAAGTGATGGGTCGCCACAGTCACCGTGGCTGCATATTGTGCGACCCAAACGTGTTTTCTGGGAAGAAAAAGGGTACTGGCTGCAAGAGTGACATCTTTTTTTTTCCAAAAAGATTTCACGTTTGCTTCGGCGCCCACTTTGATCTGACTCTCTGCAGGTTAGCTCACTGTGGAATGCATCGGAGGAGTCTTATACAATCGGATAAAGCTCACCGTCGGAGAATAGCTTTGCTTTTTCCCAACAGATTGAAAATGAACCGCACAGTAAATCACATTCTCACATCCTTCCGTCTCTTTGTCACTTTTCTGCCTCTACTCTCTCTTATATTATTGTCGGCCCCCTCCCTTTCCCTATTTCACCGAAACTCATTCACCCCTTCTCTCACCCACTCTCCTGTAATCTGTACACCTCCTTTGTTTTCCTCTGGCTCCATCAACCACCTATTTTCAAGTAATTCTGCCCTTTTCTAAATCTTTTTTTCTCAATAGAATCACTCTTCTCATCATACTGTGTCACATTTTTCTGTCACTTTGTCAATGCCTCTATTTCTCTTCAGTAATGTTCTCTTTCTCACAACCCACCCAATCAACACCTCCACACAGTACTGCCAAACTCAATCACCCATACCTTCTCGTAGGTGGACCCAGAGGCGGTGTTCGTTCTGCCTCCCGCCGCCGTGCAGGAGCTCCAGCTGAAGGTGCAGCCGTGGCGCGCAGGAAGCCGCTTCCTGTATGTGAACGCGGTGGATGTGGAGAACCGGCGGCTTGTGGCGTCCTGGCTGCTCTGTCTCAACGTCCACCGGCCTGTCCTGTCCAAGGTATTAGAGGTTTTCTTTTTGGCTTTGCAACCTATAATGGTAAAATGTGTGTTTTTAAGTCTCCTTTTCAGCCTTTTCCAATAGCTGAAACACTGTGGCCATCATTCTCCTATTAGGGAGCCTTTGCTAACTGTTGGTGGCACTTTTCATTCCTTTAGTACTCCAGCAACACCTGCCGGGTGTCTGCTTGCCCTTTTTAAAACTGGTACAATACACTGCTGATGTAAATGGATAGCAACATACAGAAAAAGTTGAGTCTAAACAGCTCAAATCTTATTTTGAATCTTCCATATCGTATATCAATTGAGCGCTTTGTTTTCTCTTTGCAATATCAAACTGCACTGCAGTGTGAAAGTCACCAAATGTCTCATTCTGTCGTCACTCACCTGCACCCAGTGATGGCTGACATTATGAAACAGTATTAACACAATGAAAGACACAGTATTTTATGGATTTCGCTCTAATAATTTTTTTTAAAAACTGGTTCCGTTGGGGGCCAACACTACACTGAAACATCCCCCTCCCAGTTAGCTCCTGACCACCAACACTCCCCTGGTGCTCCGAGCCCATAGTCCTGACAGCATGGCTCACTAAGCTAACTGCTTACTAGCTGACACCAGCTACTGTTAGCATCTGTAGGCTTTTAGCGCTAATTTAGCTAAAAGTAAAGTTTTCTTTCTGTCAGGAAACACATAAAACACATAGAGCTGAGCAGCTGGACATTAAAGGGAAAACCAAAAGAAATAGATCCAGTTTCTGGATACAATAAATCCTTAGACACTTCTCACAGGAGATTGTAAAGAGCCGACTTTCTGGCTCAGACTGAGACTGGTGGCCCCATTCCCCCCATTACAAGTCAGTGAAACATTAAAATGATTGTTATCTTAGTACAACATTGTTATATAAGTGTTGGTTTAAAGGCAAATATATTTTTTATTTTACAATCTGTTTATCTTTTACAGATTTAGGACTGCTGCAAAGAAACTCCTCATTTGTATCATTCTATATAAAAGCATGTGACTTATACTGTGGAAGGTGCTAGATGTGTGGTAAGTGGTACCTGTTCTGTATGACTCAAAGCCACTTGGGACTAAGAGTCACACTCAGTGCTTATTGAAGCATCCTGGTGGTGTCCTGGGTCAGCGGGAAATTCTCAACCCCTTTATGGGTGCTGTCAAGAAAAGGCTAAGGACAGCTGATCCCAGGTCAGCACTTAATCGCCTCTATAACTGCCACCTGTCTCGCCTGTTTGTGTGTGCAGGCATTTGAAGTGTGTGTCCCAGTGGGCAGTGGGCGTGGCAGCTCCAGGAAAATCACCTACACCAACCCCTACACCAGCAGCCGCTCGTTCCTGCTCCGCTCGGACCATCCTGACCTGCTGCAGTTCAAAGAGGATAAATTCCAAGTGAGATAAGACAGGAAGTCATGCAGTTCTCTTACTCTCATTAAGAGCTAAATCAATACTTTAATTAACAGCTCGACCTCAAGGAAACCCTACTCCTTGGAAAAAGCCTGTCTTTGGTGTAGATTGAAATCAAAGCCTGCATCATTACTGGCAGTTGAATTGCATTAACGGTTGCTTGTGTTGTTACCGCCCTGTAAATAATGCGCATTAGCTGTAATGACAGGAATGCTTATTAATCGCATACATTTTAATATTAAAGTCTTGTTTAGGACAAAAGTAATGGAAATAAAACCTTTGCAAAACTGTATACATGCATTTTGAATATATTTAGAATACTGCAGGCAAGATTATTTGAATACTGCAAGCTTGAGTTTCTGCCAACAACAATGCTAACGTCTAAAAGCATCCTTTTCCCTCTCTTAAAAGCATTTATACATATTTTTGAATTCTTCATTTGGAATACATTTATATCTAGGAAATACATTGCTCCTAGATATGACTCAGTGATGTAAAACAGCTGCTTCTTTTTATTGAACTTTATTAAACACAGAACCTGTTGCAGCATTCGTTTTGGTTAGCACCATTCAAGCATACAAAACTTTACCAAAGCTTGAATCGGATTATTAAGAATAATTAAGGAATTGTAATTCCAGTTTTAAATATTGGATACAACTGGTTGAAGTAGCCTATACTTTATTGACAGTTGTTTACAGATTTAGGCTAATGGACTGTATCTGTATCTTTCACAGTGATTTTGGCGCATTCCCAGCTTCTATTAGAATCAGAAAGATATTTTCTCTTCTATGAATAGTACCCACTTAAACCGTTATGATGACACTAGGAAATTGAAGTAGTCATAATGTCACAAACATGACGTCTAAATGAAGAACTCAGACACAGCTTCTTCAGACCTTCAGATTGTTATAATGAGTTCTATTTGAATACTTAGCTAATATCTCACACTGCTTGGATTATCTAACATCATATATTCCAATCATGCAACAGAACAAACCTTTTTCTCCAGTAGTTTCACTGACTGAAAATAATGATTGGCACTTCCCAGGGCTTTTTGTCACATTATGAGTAGCATTCTTATTAAATACTTTCACATTCTCCCCTCCTCTCTTGACAACGACACCGAAAACTTTTTCAGGCTACAGCTTACAAGCTGAAAAAAGCCTATGACAATGACATTCATATTAAATGATGCAAAATAAAGATTAGACAACCTGCTGTGAAAAATGAGCCTGAAAATGTGTTTTCAAAGTGATCAGCAACACAATTCTAAACCTCAGTGGAAATGTATCTGCTGAAGAACAGGTTGCTTAAAATCTCTTGTACAATGTGTACACAGCAGCAGCTTGAGTCCTCCGTCTGTGTCTGCACACGATGCGTTCAGGCACAGTATTGACTGTAGATCTGTGTTTTGGCAGAATGTAATGTAAAATAGAAGAACATTTACTTAGAAATTGCATCTGAAATGCCTCCTGTGCAGACATGCCTTCCTTGTACTGCTGGACATTTCAAATATATGAGTCATGATGGAGCTGCAACCAGAACATACAATACAATACAATACAGCTATATTTATAAAGCACTTTAAAACCTCCAGACCAAAGTGCTGTACAGTCAAATAAACAAACAAAAACATACAAAAAATCACATAGCACAGCTCACACACCATAAAAAAAGTACAAGTAAAAACAATAAATAATTAAAAGCAATAAAAGCAACAATCTAAAAGATGTCAGTACGCTAAGGAAAAGAGGACATACAGTGGACACTTTAGTATTGGATTATTTCAACAGTGTCCTGAACTGATTTATGTCAGGCCCAAAATCAGTTTTGGTGCACTCTTAAATCATGATTTGGCAGTGCCGCAAAATCACTAACTATGCAGCACACCTACATTACATTACTACATTTACAACTGCAATTTACAATCAAAGTGAAATCAACCGTACAAAGTCAGAACACTAAGAAACCTGAGAGTACATTCACTTCAAGCAAAGCCAAACCATTTCATAGCGGCCCTATACGTTTTGGGGGTTTTAAGATAAGATAAGATGTACTTTATTGATCCCAAATTGGGATTTGTTTGCATTGCAGCAGCATAAAAAAAACAAGGGAATGCACATAAGTATACATTAAAAGAGTAAAATAAGAAATTCCAAAATGTAACATCTCAAAATATAAATAATACAAGTTTTCCCTTTCCTGTTGTGTTCTATAGTTTGAAATAAGCCAAACTACTGGAAAAAGTCTTGACCAACACCAAGAACTTTAGTGTGAAGGAGAAACTTTTATTCTCATTTGTTTAGTTCCAGTGAAAGATTGTTTTGGACTTCTTCAGTGAGTAAAAGATGCTGATGATGATTTCTGGCCTCTCGCGTTGAAGTGAAAGCTGTTTTTGTTTTCCTCCAGTAGGAATCCAAAAAAAGTCGCCGGTGTTTTATTGTTATGTTGTCTACCTCAGTGTCTCTAATAGCTCATTCACTCACTTACACACAGCCATGGAGCACCGGAGTCACCGCCATCATTGCTTTTCATTTGCCGAGGTGTGATGGAAGGGCAAAACAAATGGGAAAGCAGAATTTTAAATGAAGAAATAAATGAGTGAGACGCAGTGGGAGTCTGTTTCCATATAAACTATTTAAGAGTCAGGCTGTTGCTGTCCAGAAGACACTGCATCACTAAGACAGAAGAAGGTGGGCAAAGTGAAAAACAGCCTGTTGTTTTTATCCCATTTTGTCAACCAGGCGCCAGGTGTCTTATAAAGAATTGACTGTGCCCGCAGCATTAAGCAAATGTGGAAACACTCTTCTCTTTTTGACACAAGTTCCTCAGCGTGATAAAACCAGCTGTCAGGAGGGAGGGGAAAGAAGAAATCAATACTGCTATGCTTTCTGGGAAGATTGCAGCATAAATCCCCCAAATTGACCTTTATATCCTTTGCTGGCTATTACCAAAAATACTAGAGGACAGTTTTGGTCTGATTGAAATACCAGGGAAACAAAAGCTTTTCCTTAGAGAGAAGATTATTTTCACTTTCGATGAAAATAAGGTAATTTACACACAAAAAACAAAGTGTGATGTCAAGAGGTTGGAGCAATTAAGAACACAAACCATTTGGGGTTTCTTTGAGTAGTCATCCTCTGGTGTCAGACAACCCTTATTAAGCGGATAAGCTGTTGCATCATATACATGACATTTATTACAATGCAATAAAGGATAATCCCTTAAGCACGCTGGTATTTTAATATTGTTGCAAAGCTATACAGAGTTATTAACAACAACAGTGGTGGCTGGATGCTCCACTTATAGTTGTTAGATATTTTTCAAAAGTATTCCCATATGTTTGCTACTTTTCTTGACAAATGAAAGCAATGGCACTACATCTGTTTGGCCTTTTCTTTAGAGAAAGTTACTGAAATAAAAGAGTTTAAGTGAAAAAACATGACCGACCAGACTTTGAAAAACGACCAAAGATAAAACATGAAGGAACAGGTTGTAGTTCTCAGGTAAGGTATGTACTGTTGAAAAAGAGTTCTCTGCAGCAGGTAGGGGATACATGTTCTACAGGGTTCATACACTTTTTCACGAATGATTTTCAATGACTTTTCCATGACTTCTCCATGACCTTTACCTAATTTTCCATGACCAAAAAAATTACTCTTTCTCAGCGGTACCACATGGAACAGGAAAATAAGGTCTGCATATGAAACATGTTGTGCCTATCTAAAACAAATCAAATAGGCTTACTAGCTTCTACACGCTAAAGCAACTAAAATCTCTCACCAGCAAAATACCTCGTCAGTTAAATACCATTTTGTTTCATTACTATACAATACAGTAATTACTATTTCGGCGATTAGATAAAATATAAATGATATTTGATGCAACTTTAGTTAAATTTCCATTACTTTTTCAAAACTTTGGGAAAAATATTGTTTTCCATAACTTTACCAGGGCCTGGAATTAGCATTTTGAATTTCCATGACTTTTCCAGGTTTTTAATGACCGTAAGAACCCTGGTTCTAGTGCCCAGACATTTCTAATGTTTTAAATCTCACACTCACTCCGGCTATGTGATGTTGTCATATCTTCAAAGGTAGATGGATGTAGCTGGTAAGAGGACTCAGATTTGAAGAAACCACAGTAGTTGGTGTATTTTATGGACAAAGCTGTGGAACCGTTAAGCGGCTAAAATATAACATGTTTATATAACTAAAAGCTTCTACTTGTCCTTTTAACTATAAAGTTATTCATTTAGATGTGTTCCTAGATCTGTTATGACAGAATAAATGAAACTAAGGAATCAGCTACTTGATCAAATGCAAAATTGGGAAGATTTTCTTTTTCTTTAAATCAAATCAATTCACTGAATTTGTACCTACCTAGGCATGCACATCTGGACAGAAACTATTTCTAATCCCTGGCACAAACAAGATACTGACATGAAACAGTTGTTGATCTTCTGCAGGCAGTTAACAGGAATGAGTCGGCGATCAATGACAGTATGAATGGTCCATTTAATAGGGTTTTCCAAACGAAGGAGATAATGATTACATGCAAGGAAGACCGTTTTTTATATCTCTGAGGTAAATAGGAACTTTGTGTTTGTGATCATGAGTCTCCTTTTGTTGCTGAAGAGAAAAGGAGAATCTCTCCCCCTCACAAAGCCTTCAGAGGAAAATAAAGCTTGTTTGTTGTGTTCACTGTGTTCAGATCGGCGGGGGGGAGAGTTACACCATCGGACTACGATTCGCTCCCAGCCAGAGTCCCGGCTCTGTGGAGATCCTGGTCTACGTGAACAACCTGCAGGAGAGGACGGAGGAGACGTTCTGTGTGAAGGTCAACTACTCCTGACCTGAAGATGTTGGTTTCCTTCCTGGAAAGTGCTGACTCATTTGTCTTTGAATCTATTTTCTGAGTGTGAAATAAACTCAAATGAGCTGTACATGTCCAAACTTTCCTAATTTTGTATTGATTTATTAAAGACAGAAATAAACTAATGTTATCACGTGTTGTTTTCAGTCTTTTGTATGAGGTGGAATGTTCTGTATTGTATGGCAAATGAGCGCTTTACTGAAATTATTAAGTTTGAAAAATCCAAAATGTTATTCCAAAGGAAGAAGGCAAAGATAAGTTCTCTTAGAAATCGTTAAACAAAAAACCGAACTCAACACAAACAATAAAACAAAACAAATGTTTAAACGCAATAAATTAACGTGCAAGAAAGAAACACAAATCTACAAAAGTAACCACAGGAACACAGGATTGTTTTGTTTGATAATCAGCAAAGCAGACCAAAAGCAGCAATATCAGTGTGGTGGCTTTATCCCAATTGGTATTTTGTCCTCTTACGAAATGTCCGGAAAATGTCTGACACTCCATCCCTAACAATCCAGGTGGGCGGGGGGTGAAAGCAATAACATTTTATCGACTTTAATTACCCGGCAAACCCACTCGAATGCCACTTGATGGCTGAGTTTTAATCTAAGCCAAGCCAGGGGTCCTCTCTCTGCGTCCCCTTGCCTCCCAAAAAACGTATCCTCATCGGCGGCATTATAAGAAGCTGTGCCTTAATGAGGTATGACTTTCCGGCGAGGCCCACATCTCTCCAGATCGCCCTCATTAACACCGGCACCCTTTAAAACCCTCCATCTTCTCCTTGCTGCCCGCTCACCGTCGCTCTGCTGTGTGTCTGTGTCTGAGAGAGAGAAGGCCATGCACACTGTGTTATGTAACTCAGAGTTACACAATCCCCCCCTCCACCCCCTCCCTCCTCGCCCTCTCTCTCATTAGAATGCAGGCAGCAAAATAAGCCTCAACACAGCAGCAAAGGCTAATAAAAAAAGACGATAGGAAACAAGCCGGTGCTCTTCATCTTTACCTTCTCTAACGTCTGGTCTGATGCGGCAGCCTCATTGTCTTCAATATTTTATGTTTATGTGTTAACAGCTTACAGAATTACACATTTAAGCCTTATTATCTTGATACTTCGCCCCCTGTAGCATTCCGGTTCTTATACTCAAAGATGCTCTGTGCAACTTTGAACATTTAGCTTGAAGCCCGAGTCAGGATCTTTTTAATGTTTATTTTACTACTTTTTAGAGACCATATGTGAGTTGAAATAAGTATGAGTTCCTGTAATCATTCCTCATACTCATACTGGCCATGAAGTTATCTTGCAAATACTGTCTTAAAAAAGAGGACACACTCAACAGTACTTATTCTGTTTAGCTTTTTTTTCCTGATGTAACCACTCTAGGAAGCTTTTTATCATGGATGTAGCACACTAGCTATGTAGGAAGATGCCGTTCTCTGAAAGTCAAAATGTTAAGGTTATTTTCTCATCGACTTCTATACAATATGACTTATTTTTGCAACCTGTGGTAACTACTGGCCATTTAAAATAATTCAAGTTTAAGGCACTTGAACTGGCACTGTGGTTACAAATTGATTAAGACAGACATAAAATATCTTTCCCATAAATGTATTTCGCAGTCTTCACAGCTTGCTTCCTGTAACTGTTGAGCTGAAGATGGTGAACGGCCCTCATGTCTCCATGCAACACTACCTTTTGTGCTGCCATCCATTCCCAATTTGTCCAGACTAATCCACAGCATCTCTGGGAGGGATCGCATGATGTTGCTACAGGCTGATGTGTGTTCAGTTTGAAATCACACATCCTGTTCTGAGCAGCAGCCTTCAGTTTGTGCTGCACAGCGGGGGGCCGGGCAGCACTGACACCTTATTAGCGCCGCCAGTCTAGTGTTTGTCGGTTCCTCCTGAAGGAGCACAGACACCCCCCACAGCACCTCACCCTGTCTGCTCACCTTGTTAGTGTGGTTAGACGGCTCCTGTCTAGCTGACCGGCTGTTTGCCTTGATATTCGGGTTATTGCCCTGATCTGGAGAAAAACAGCCATGTCTGTGTGTTTGTGTGCTCTTTTTCAGCATGTAGGTGCCTGGCCATGTGAGTGGGTGCATGTCTATGAGAGAATGAAGCGACAAAGGTATCAAAGAGCTTTGTAACCGGAGGAATATGCAACCTAGCAACCAGCCCTCCTCCTCATGTACACCGCTGGCCATGGATTGGCACTCATACAGTGGAGAGAAGAGAGAGTGTGTGAGTGTATTATTGCAAATCACCTCAAGCTTTAGAATATTAAACTGAGGACACAGAGAGATCACAGCAGAGGGGTTCTTTTTTTAAAGATTTTCTGTAAGAGAAAAAATAAGTAGATAAATCAAATGTGTCCACGCCCTAATCATTGACGTCAATGGCAAAACGCCTGCTGTTTGGAAGCCGTGAGCTTTCAATCTGATGTGGGAATTGAATAGTATTTTGTAAATTATTAAAAATGGACAGGAAGAAGAAAGATAGGTAAAGTTAGCGCCCATGTCTCGTTTTATCTCGACGAGGAAGGACCTGGGTCAGATTAGAAATGCGACAAGGAGCTGTTAACCAATTGGAATTGAATTACCTCATTACCCGTCTCAGAGGGACCTTTCCTCGGCCATGACTGTCGAGCACAGAGGAAATGTATGTGGCGAAGGAAGCGTCACTGTTCCTCTCTCTACAAACACACATTCAGTCTGAAGACAGTTCTCAGTAGATGGCAGCCTAACACACACACACACACACATCCAGCAAATCCCCTGTGTGTTCCCACCAGTTTTGATTTGAAAAGCAGTAAACTCACAGAAGTAAGAAAATACGGCCGAATTATCTTGAAGCACAATTGATCAAATATCCACCCATTCTAAGAAAAGCTTTGAGTCAAGCTGTCAGTGTTATTTAATGATTTATCCTTATAGCTATGGATCAAGTATTGATGATACAAGATTTTTTTTTAAATGTGATGAAGTATAAACACTCAGTCTCCTCCATCTCCCTCAAAGTTTCTGCTCTAACCTCAAAGTGGTGGCAGGGTCAGGGACATCAAATATTATGTATAAGCCTGGTTCCATGTTCAAATTTGTCGAGCAGCTCAAATAGGTCTGGTGTTGTTTTTGTCAATGGCTGTTTGAACAGGACAGGACTGTTGATCATCAGTGTGGCGAAGGATGGACTGTTTAACCGCTGCCCAACACCACAGAATAAATCCAAATACGTATTTTTCTTTCCTAAACTTTAGAATAAGCTGCTAACATTAACATTAACCGTTACAAATTGTCCAAACTCAGCTATGTCCCCCCAGATTCTTAATTGTTCTGGGAAATATTTGACTATTTCACAAAAAGCACATTTTGCTCAAAAGAAACCTCTTTCTTAATGGCCAGCAAGGGAAATCTCAAATTGCAAAACATTGTCGGCTTGTATAAAAGTCTATGAGAACATAACCCGACTTTTAATTTAATTATTTATTTTTTTACCTCAGTAAATAAGTTGCTAGTTTCATTCACTTTTTCACTACAGGATAATGTTCTTTCAGTAAATTACTCTTTCAAAATAAAATGTATCCTTGGCTTATACAGAAAGACACTCTAAGAAATAGGTTGTTGATTTTTTCCCAAAACATTACAAACAGCTTATTTTGTCTTAGCTAGCCAAAATTATCAATTTAATTAATGTTAGGGATTGAATCATAAATGCACCATGCTAACCATGCTAGCTACAGTGTATAGTGTTAGCTGCAGTATAAATAATAATGTATAGCACTTATTACACAAGAAATGCAGCAGTCAGTGTTTTATAATAGGGATAAGTGGATATAATGTTGTGAATAATGTGGAAAAGGGTGTTCAACTAAACACTTAATTAAAGAAGAAAAATAAGATGCATGACATAAGATGGAAAGTAAAACCCATAAGAGTAACATTACAGCCTCTTGTGCTCTCTCTCTACCAATCAACGCCTATATGGTCTCTCAGGCTGTGCATAAACACAACAGAACCCACTAAGTGTTTGTACTCATGGATCTGAATTGCACAATAAGTGTCCCATTCTCATCGCTCATTGCTGATTAACTGATAACTGCAGCTGTGGATAAATGCCTAAGATAATTTAATGATGGACTTCAGGAGAGATCTCCCTCGAACTGGGTCAGTGATTCATTAACGGTACTTGCTAAAAATGATGTCCGTTGCCATGTCTTCTGAGTGTCCTTGAACAATTTGTGAACTCCACTTGCTCCTTCTCTGTTAATCACTTTGGAAAGGTGTGTCAGCTAAATGCCTAAATTGAAACTGTAACTCAAGTCAAAAAGAAAAAGGGGTGGAACTGCTGGTATGGTGGGAGGTAAATTAAATCGTAATTTGTGCCAAAACAATTAACCCCCCCCCCCCCCCCCCCCCCCCTGGCTCAGAAGTCTTGTCTTATGAGAAAAAAGTTACTTTGCATCTTATTTTAACAATAAAATGTGGTTTATGTGGTCATCAGGCTACATAGTCAATATGTTGGTGTATTAAATAATAAACCAAAGATGTACAGTATTGTGTGCCAGTGCCCTTTTAACTAATGTATGGCAGTTTAAGTGAGTGACAATGCGAAATCGAGGACTTAAATATTTAAATTTTTGTTCATCTACAGATTGGACCTCCATACTCTAATCCACCCCAGTAGCATGGGCTGATCTGACTACACCAGAAACGATAACAATTCAAGATGTAATTCTGAGATCAAATATACCCTTCAGAATATTGATTTCTTGGGCTTGTAAAATGTAGAGATTGGATCAAAAGAAACTCGGAGCTTCATTTATACATATTCCTTTTTGATAACTTTACAGCAACCAATATTAAGTGTGAGGTCTGATCCAGATACCAAATGCTGCTGCATTAAAGGAATAAAGTTATTGATGGTGCATGAGTGTTAGAGGGCATTTTTCAAATGACATATCTTCCAAAAAGGTGACTTCTCAAAGTCTGTATTTGAACCATGCAGGAATAGATACCTTGTGGACCAAGAGAGGTGATCTGTGAATGCCTTGCTGCTCTGACAAATTCCTGGCCTGGGTTGGTGAGTCTGATCTTAAAAGATTCAAAATATGTGACATTACTGATGCTCTTTAGAGT